GGACCTTCATTTCGTATGAAAGTGCATGAAGAAGAGATTCGTTAGTCGATCTCACCAGATGAGGACGGATAAAACTCGTTGTTATGCAGCCGGTTGGATTGTATAGGATATTCATGTTGACGCAGTCCACGAATCTCTTCTTCATGCACTTTCATGCGAAATGAAGGTCCCTCTAACAATCTTATCTCAGGAGATTCATCGAAACCTAGTTTTTCTTCGTATCTACATTGTGACAACCACGTTGACCTCTAGGCATTTTTAGGGAGTTATGGCGAATCAACTTAGTTTCCTGTCTCAATGTATGACAAAATAAATGATCAACTATAAATTTCTTTTCTACTAACTTGTTCACTTGAAGGTCTACTTACTGAATTTAAATCTCTTATTTTCTTCGAGGGGTGCCCCACAAACAAACAATTTGTGGGAAATGGTGGGCAAACGAGGCTCAGGTAGCAACAATCGGCCTTCCAATTACCAGATCTCTTACCAAAATGTACCATTCTTTATGGTATTTGATTCACCTAAACTTTCAGAGATATTAGTTTAGCAAATAGGCTATTCAATTAATTGTAAATATGAGTTTTGTGTCAATTTATATGAAATTTTAGACGAATTTGTCTACTTTTCCCCTCCAGTGTTCCACCAGTCCTTGCCACAGACGTTCTGATGACAACCACGAGACTGTGGAAGAGTTTCTAAATCGCTTGAAACGAGAAAATATCTTCCGCTGCTATGCCAGTCCAGTGAATGCTCAAAAACCTTCGCCAACCCCGCAGGCCAACTCGAGCCCTGACCTTACACCGCATGTTGTAGGGCAAAGTAGTCAATCCACCTTGTCGGCCAGCCTCGACGCCAACTCCACCGCTCTGATCGCAAGACGCCCTAACGACGCCGTCCACTCAACAGCAAGGCTGAAGAGTGGATGGTCGAGCCCATCATGGGCCTATCGTCTTCGGCCGGCCGGACACCGTCTCAGCAAGATAAACCCAGGCCTGGACGACGGTGAGAAATTCTGGCCAGAGTTGAAAGGTGAGGCACGGGACAAGGCCGCTTTCCTGCATCGCCTCTATCCTCACACCATGTTCTTCCACAGTCTCTTCTGGCCCGGAGGTCTGTTCCTATGCGCCCTCTTTGTCATCGTGCTAACCTACTTGGTCGACGGCTGTGAGGTGTGGGCGGACGACAAGACTGTGATTGCCTAGTCAAGCGCCAATTTTACCACAATTCTCTCCATTTCACCACACAAGACTGATGTAAACTGAAAAGTAAAAGGATCGGTATGCTTAA